AGACAGGGAATGAGAAAAGAAATGAATAAATACCTTGATTAAAAATGATTCTATCTAAGCAAACTTAAATGTTACCAAAGCACAGTTGATTGAATGAATAAAATAAGACCATCCATGATTTACTTTACATTATTTACTTGTGAACACTTTAATAAACATTGTTTAATTGAATAACACTGATTGAAGAGTCTTATTTGATAGAGTGAGGAATATCTCCTCTGGTGGCAACGGAAAAGGAATGAAAAATAAATGTCACACCCGAAAGTAAACCTGGGTTATGTGGAGAAACAAACAGTGAAACGGGTTTGTGACAGTGGCAATTAAGGGCAGTGCTTCCCTAGTGGTAGAAACATCCTCATTTCCCTTATACTGCTATGAATATCTGCTGTATGAGTATTTATATCGGAACAAGGGCAGTCATGTAGGGGGCCGCCTCACACTGCCTATTTGGGGATGCAGGCCCCCCCACTTGCTTGCCTGGAGCCCCCTAAACACTTGCCTGGAATCAGCTGGCCCATTTGGTGAAAAAAGGTTCCCAAATTTTGGCCTAAAGCATGCAAGTGGGCTACAAGCTTTTTCACAAAGTTATTTGTAGATTCCCAGGAGAATCGTGTTCTCTTCCCATCAATTGGTCTAGGAGCTGAAGCACAGATGATGGTTGAAAAAAAATTATTTGGCACACTTTAAGGTAATGTCAGGCGTCTTAATGGGATCTCAGCTAAAATTAAAGAATAAAGAATGTACTCTGCCTGTGCTTTTAATAATGTAGTTTGTTTTAGATAGAACAGAAGGTCTAGTATAATGCATATTTTTGGTTAATCAAACAAAGACTGAGTCTTAATGTAGTATTCCATTTATGATGAACTAACAATATTGTTTGGGAAAGAAATCTTTGGGGAGCATGTTTGCCAGGTTTTTGCTTTCAACAATCCCTCTGATGGTGTTATTACTGGAATAAAACCTCTTTCGATGCATCTGAGTAATAAATATACAATTTTTGCCTGGTATAGGACCAGCCTTGGTCCCCAGAGATGGATGCAAATGCTAGGGTCCAAAGAAACATGAAACTATCCCCATAAAACCCAAAGAGGTTTTAGACTGTAACCTGCTCATTGAATAAAGGGGAGAGTCCACAGTTGAATGGTAGCACATTTTCCTTGCTTACAAAAGGTCTCAAGTTCAGTTCCCAGCATCTCCTGGTGCTTCTTGTCAGAGATGGCATGAAAGGTTTAAGAACTCAGGAAACTTTTGCCAATTGAAGTAGACAATACTGGCATGAATGGGCACATACTGCAAACTGATAAAATGTAGGTTTATATACTCTAGGGAGGGAATAGAAGAAACAGTATAATACCTCGTTTCCCCAAAAATAAGACCTAACCTGAAAATAAGCCCTAGTATGATTTTTCAGGATGCTTATAATATAAGCCCTACCCCAAAAATAAGCCCCAGTTAAGTGAAGCCCCGCCCTTCACCCTTGTGCAGCAACCAGAAGATGATGATGTGACTGTGTTTGAATAAATGTAGATTGTTGTACATGAAAAAATAGAACATCCCCTGAAAATAAGCCCTCATGCATTTTGGGAGCAAAAATTAATATATTTCAGCATTTTTACAACCAGACACATTCAGCCTGTCTGACCAGGAAGGAATTAAAAAGTTCTCCTCCTGAGAATCAACTAATATGGTCTTGATTGAAAGGTCTGGATTGCCCAGAGACAGAGCTGATTAGCTACAATGTAGTCTTTCCTAAATCTCTTTTCTCTCATAAGTCTGTACCACGCTCAGTGTTAAAAGAAACTGCTGTTTCTCCCATTTGAAACACTTTTTAAAAAGATCAATATTTCAGCCTCTATAACCCGGATTCCTTTCAAATAAAGAAAAGAGGTTGGGGCCAACCACTCTCTTTCAAGATAAGCAAGATTGTTTATTTATTTATTTCAATTTATGTGAGCAATTTTAAATTTGTAAAGATTGTTTATTTATTTAGTTCAATTTATGTGAGCAATTTTAAATTTGGTAATTTGGTGTCGCCTATTTCTGAATGGAGGGGTAAAGCAGTTTTATTTATTTATTTATTTATTTATTTATTTATTTATTTATTTATTTATTTATTTATTTATTTATTTATTTATTTATTTTATTAATATCCCGCCTATCTAGCCAACTCAGGACCACTCTAGGTAGCTAACATCATTTTACTTTTTAAAAAACTGTAACTCAAAACTCCTTTGTTCAAATGTCCCTATGTTTGGCACAGAGCAAGAGCAGACTGTGTGGTATAACAGTGCCAAATACGATGCTGATCAGAAGCCCAGTTTAAAATGTATAATTTTTTGTTTGGACCACTCTAATTTTTCAAATTGCCTTGTAGAGTGTTGATTTGCTCTGCCACACAATATTATTGTTGCACTCTCATGAAGCTATAATCTCTGCAATTATAATCTCAAATAGTTAACAGACTGATAGTCCCATTCCTGTGTTAACAAAACAGTCATTTTGTTATCTGTATCACCACTAGGACATGACTTTCACACCGTGAGGATATGAATAAACACAGATGGCATATATTTGCCCTCCTTATGTCTGAAGAAGTAGAGTTTGATTCATGAAAGCTCACAGTAAAACAAAACTGTTAGTTTTTTAACATGCCACAGTATTTTGCTTTTCTCTCTCTCTTTTTTTTCTTTCCTCACTTTAATTTTGCCAACAATACAACATATATGCATACCTGGATTATCATGTAACTAGACATCATGGCTTGAACCTTTTCACTTTGAGACTTCCTGACTTTAGATGTTCATGGTGAAGTATATAAAATGGAATCTGTTTTTTCTTATTTAGTTCTTTGTTGACTCAAGTGCTTTTCCAGAATAATGGGAGTGAGACACTGTAAAAATAGATTGGCTTTTTCCTATGACAGATCCTTTAAATCATGTGTTCCAAAATGTGTAAAACAGCAGGATTACAATCAAGTTAAATTGCATATATGTTCCTTGTGGCAAATATAGGCTCTTTCTAGGTTTCAACATAAACAGAGTTTGTCAGTTCTAATCAGCTTCAGATAGGAAACTTTTAGAGCTCCAGGCTATCACAAGCGACAGACCAATTTTAGCACAGTCTCTTGAAATCTGCTTTGATTATTACTTTTAGATAAAGCAAGTCTAGATGAATGTCTCTTGCAGATTGTTTTTCTTCTTTTGGATGTTGCTGATTAGCCAGGCGATTAGCTGACATGTCTGATAGAAGAGAAATGCTATTTTGAGTCATCAAAAAAGTTTATATTGTAATTACCATGAGGTGGTTCTAACATGTTTTCATTATGAATTAATATTTTGCAGTTCATTAAAGTTATTTTATAGATCCAGTGTATACATCATTCTGCTGATCTCTTAACCACCGCTGAGGGTCTTTCTCTCATCCTTCCTTTAGCATAATTCCCATTCCTTTCCCATCCACAGCCATGATTTGAACTTACATGTGCTCTGGCACTGACTCCTGTTAATACTAGTGAGTATTATCATGCAAGTTAAAAATGTCTCAAAGATGCTTATGTCACTGAGCAGAAAAAGAGGAAAAGATTGTACCTACCCTAAGGTGCTAAATCACAAGCTCAGCAAAGATATTACGTCAACATGGTTACATATCTTATTCCCTCTCTCTCATTTTCTCTTTCTCAATTTTTCTGTGTGTAGGATGGCAGTTTATAAATGTTTCTAATTCAATAAATGATATTGCTTTTCCTATACTAGAAATATCATGTGTTATTTGAATCCCAGTTTATATTATTTTGTAGTCCTTACAATTGCTTAGAGAATCTGAATATAAATATGCCCTTGAGACTCTTCAATTAAGATAAGGGAAGCATTACCCTGAGGAGACTTGACTCATATTCTGTTTATTTCAGATTGGAAGCCAAAGTTCTGAAATGTTTTATGATGGATTTTATATTGTGGTTACTCATTCCTAGGGCAATAAATGAACAAAACAGTGACTATTACATGATCATATAGAAAATCAACGTTTCAGCAGTATTCTCTTCAATATAGAATTCATCACATTTCAGAGATGAATAGAAGCTTTATATTAATATATAGATTATCTATAGAATTTTATATATGTTTATCTTTTATTTTTCCAGGAAAAAAGGACTAATGGTTCTGTCATCTATCTAACAATAAAAATACAATATTCTAAATTAGTAAGATGGTCTAATATGTTTTATATTAGATTTGAAATTCTGTAATAATTTTATCTTAGTTAAACACAAAATGGAGGCCCCAGAGTTATAGTTCCTGTGTATACATGACATTTCCCTATTCAACACTTTTTAAAAGCAAAGTCTACACACTGGTATGGACCAGGTGAATAATATCTATTGCTTCCCAGCTGGGTAAGTCAGGGTGGATAGCACTTAGAGCTGGCCAAATAGTCTTTACACAGAGATGCTTGAGGGAGAAAACTCTCTCTCTTCATTTTAAGCAGTAAAAACACAAGAAATGAATTGATGAAAAAATTATTCCTTGGTAAAAGTACAGGTTATCCTTGACAATTAAGTTCAGTCATGTCCAACTCTAGGGGCTGGCACTCATCTCTGTTTGTAAGCCAAAGAGCCAGTGTTTGTCCATAGATACTTTCTGTGGTCACGTGGCCAGCAGGATTAGGCACGGAATGTCAGTACCTTCCCTACTCACATTTGTATGCTTCTGTTCATGTACTCACATTTGTATGCTTTTGAACTACTAGATTGGCAGATGCTGGGACAAGCAACGGGAACTTGCTCTGTCACTCGGTTTCGAACTGCCGACCTTTCGATCAACAGCCCAGTGACTCAGCAGTTTAACCTGCACCACCACCCGTGTCCCTTATGTTCTGTTCTGTTCTTTTCCTCGACATAGTACCAAAACAGTTCTTCCTGAGGTGGCTTCTTCGTTCTGCCTAATAGTAGGAACATTCCTGGTTTGAACATCAGAACTAACAATGTGTGTGTTTTAAAACAGATCTGCCGATTTCAACGCTACCTTCCAAATAGAAAGGATCACCAGAAACTCTTTTCAGACCAGCCTGTCATGTTCATATCTCATACTAGTCAACCTCCGTATGAGAAGCTCTGTGAGTTGGTACAGCTTTGTGGAGGAAAAGTGTCTAAAACACTCCGTCAAGCCAAAATCTGTATTGGAGAATGCAAGTTTGGAAAACACAGAGACATACCGTGTTTATCAGAAAAATGGGTTCTAGGTAAGAGACCTCTCTTGTACTTTCTGACATAAAACTCTGGCTGTCTTTGCACTTTCACTTTTAAGTCAGAGGGGCAACATGTGCCCTCCACAATGCACTGGGACTCCTGCTACCTCCCACATCAACTGTCAAAAATTTACCAAGAGATCCTTTTTAACATCTACGAGATGGATTTTTTTTTCATGTTGAAACACAAGCCCCCCTCCCACTAGTTTTCAATTTTTTTTTTCAAAATCTGTTATTTTTTTGATACTACAAGATTGTAGGAGGCTTTTTCGATCTAAAGCATTCTTTTTAGTTAAACTCATTTTTTAATTATCAAAAAGGAATTGTAGCAATCTGTACTACTAATAATAATTTTGCAAATTATTCTTTTTGGCCCCTACCAGTGTAGCAGCTGACAAATCTGAAAAGTGACTCTCAGGCCCCCTGAGATCATTTATCCCCTACATTAAATAACCATAACTTCCTGTAGCTCAGTGGTTTAGGCATCTGGCTGTGAAGCAAGAGGCTGGGAGTTCGATTCCCCACTGTGGCTCCTTGACAAGGGTTGGACTCGATTATCCATAGAGTCCCTTCCAACTCTGCAGTTCTAAGATGATGATGACGACGACGACAGTTTACTCAGCTGATAATGAAATCACTGCTGTAGTGTACTCAGCTGATAATGAAATCACTGCTGTACAGCTTGTGCTCATAGCTGACCTAATTTTGCCTTCATGTCAGAAACTGTGAACCATTATTGATCATTTTACAAATACATCATAGGCAAATGTTAACATGCAAAAAAGAGTATACAAAGGTACAGGATTTTAATAACTGTAGAGTACTTATTTGTATATACACACTGATTTCTATAGTAGGGGTTGTCCTTTTTTCCAGTTCCAAGGATGCAAAAAACAAAAAATGCTATGAAATTAGAATCCCACAGGCTGTTGCTCTTTGATTTCAGTGTTTCCTTGCAGACATGCATTATCTTCCTTTCTATCCTTATGCATGTATTCTGTGTATTTCAATAACTGTAGAGTACTTATTTGTATATACACACTGATTTCTATAGTAGGGGTTGTCCTTTTTTCCAGTTCCAAGGATGCAAAAAACAAAAAATGCTATGAAATTAGAATCCCACAGGCTGTTGCTCTTTGATTTCAGTGTTTCCTTGCAGACATGCATTATCTTCCTTTCTATCCTTATGCATGTATTCTGTGTATAGTGAGGGTATAAGTCATAGAATCACAAAATCATTGAGTTGGAAGGGACCTATAAGGTCATCAAGTCCAACCCGCTGCTCAGTGCCAGAATCTAATATGGTCCTTGCACACTCTGAGCTCACAAAGCATAAAAGGATGTTCAGATTGAGAAATCCTGCAGATACCTGAATGCAGCCTCTCACTTGGGCCCCAGTGAACTATGTATGACAGGGATAGGAAACATATGGTCTTCTGAATGTTTTTGAACCACAGTCTGCCTGATTCCATATATTAGCACACTTCTCTTTTTCTGGAACAAACAATGTAAAGTACGCAAGATTTTATTTCAGGATTTGTTGTCCCCTTTTAAAAATGTGAGACATATAATGTGTTTTCAAAGCTGACAATTTTATTGATTTTGCTTTCATTCTAAATAATTTTCTTTGTTTCCCTCTGCAGATTCAATAACCCAGAACAAAATATGTCCTCTTGAAAACTACATGTTTCAGAACAAGGTTTAGCATGCATGGTATTATTATCTAATGTCACAACTTCTGGAGTTCATCTAGCAAATTGAACAATTAATATTTGCAAGCTTTACTTTGAAACAAATAGAAAAGCCAAATTAACTTTATTTTAAAAACGAATTCAAGAGCTTACATACACCTTTGAGGTGAAGAAGAGAGTGAGCAAATCGTGGTGGGGAGCATGCTCAGTTTGTCCAAGGTAGAGTGTAGAGTAAAAATTCTATCTGAACAGTCACTGAGCAATGTACATAGATAATAATACTGTATGGTATTCAGTCTTGCCAAGATATTTTAGCTCTGTGCATGTTATATTAAGTGGCAAATAGTTCCATCAGATGTTATGAAGTCAAGGTCTATAAAATATGAAGATGAAATAGATGAAATAGGTAAATTTTTAACTGTGAAAATATTTTTACTCTATAAAATCCCATTCACTGCTTTCTATGAACTTTTCACAGAAATGCTGAATACCGTCTACCAAAGAGGAACTACCCGTTGTAGACAATCCTATGAACCCCTTTATTAGAGAACTTACTGCCGAGACAGTAATATGTCATGGCCAGAAACAGAAATATTTTAATAAAAAGTGATGTGTGAACACATGGTTCCTAGTAAGCAGTAGAATGTGATGTTTAAATTTATACATAATATCATGGTCTACTACCTCTCTCATAAATGTTTTACACACAAAAAACTGTCATCACTAATTTACGTACCCGAACATTCCAAATTGATTTTCTCATAAATTCTTTTGAGACAAATTTCCAGTTGTGTACAGGGCAGACTCCTGGGACAACGGCTCATGTTTTATTAGCCACAGGCGTAGCAGTTTTTACACTGGAATACTAATAAAGATATTTACAGCAAAAGTATTTAAATGACAGAATCTGGTTGTCCTAGCTTTCAAAGGAAACTATAGCCTAGCTCATACCTTTGAAAACATGTGGAACATCCATATGTAGGGAGGACCATTGTAGCCTGTATGTCGAGGGCAAGGAGGTCTAAACAGAGAAGGGGCGGGGGAATCAACTCAGATGAAATGTGCCTCAGGAGAGAGCTCTGCAGGTACAGTGGTGCCTCGCTAGACGATGATAATCCGTTCCTTCTGAAATCGCTGTTTAGCGAAATCATTGTCTAGCAAAAAGCATTTCCCCATTGGAATGCACTGAAACTGGTTTCATGCGTTCCAATGGAGAAGAATCGTCGTTGTCTAACGAAGATCGGCCATAGGAAAGCCGCTTTGTGAACCGCCAATCAGCTGTTTAAATCGCTGTCTTGCGAAGCTTAGGTCCTGAAAACACCTGTTTGCGAGCGCGGAGGGAGCTGTCAAAATCGTCTAGCAAAAATCAGTTTGTGAAGCAGGGACCAAACATTGTCCAGCGAAATACCCTCATAGGAATCACTGTTTTGCGAATCACTATAGCGACTGCAAAAAGCCAATGTCTAGCGAAAAAACCGTTATGCAGGGTAACTGTCTAGCGAGGCACCACTGTACTGTGAATCACCAGAAAGACAAACAAGGGGCTGCTACATCAAATTAAGCCTGAAATCTCTCTCAAAGCAACAGGGCATGTTCAAACTATCATACATTAAAACTCACAGGAAAATACAATAGTGCTTGGAAGAGCAGAAGGCAACAGAAGAAGAGAAGGACTGGATATGAGAATGATTGATTCAATAGAGGAAGTTACACCCTTGACTTTCCAGGATCTGAGCAGAGCTGTTAATGATAACGTTTGGAGGTCACCAGTTCATAACAGTTATTATAAGTCAAAAGTGACTTAATGGTTCATAACAACACATAAAGCCATGTTGTTAAACAGCCTTGATTTTAGCCACTACCAAGAACATTTGTCCCATGGTATCGATCATCATCAGAGGCCATGCAACTGATGAACTGGTGAACAATTTTTCTCATATATATTCACAAATAGAAGTGTCCTCCTGCAGCTCAGAGCTGTTTCACACATCATACAGTTTCAAATTATGTTTACCCTCAAGAGGATGTTCTTTCTCTATGTGTTTACATACACCTCTCTTTTTTTCTGCATTCACACTTGGTATGTATGAGTATGCTTTAGGAATGTAAGCTATAAAAAGAATATTTCTTTCTTGTAGTTGGAGAAATACGCGATGATATTCGACCTAACACTGATAACCTGTAGACCCTATGCTTTGTTTCACAAGGAAGCTGTGAAGCAAAGAATTTAGCAGTAGGAATCAAACCAAGCCAAATACGCCCCTGCCAGTCCCCATTCCTCAATTCCCACCAAAGGGCTGACTGTCTCTCTTCCCAGAGATCCGCCCCTATGTGCAAAACTGATACCCTGCTAGAACCAATGAAAATTGGTGAGAAAATTGAAACTGTAAGAACAAAACTAATACAATTCCCCTCCCCCCCCCATTCCCATCAATCTGTGCAATGACTTAGAATGACACTTTATAAGGGAGGGTGGGCAAGTGCAAATAAGCTACAGATTGTCAGAACCATCCTTTTATTGTACCTCCCTAGCTGATCAGGGTGGAAACTGTTTCCTTCCAGTCAGCTGAAGATGGCTTCACCTATCCTGCATCAGCCAGCCTCTCCTCTATTGGATGTTTGTTTTCCTGCGCTCCTGACATTGCTCTCCTATGTGCAAGGCAGCCTGAGAAGGAGATCTCATGAAGCAGAGAATATGGTGGCCAACGATCTCATCTTACAGGACTTGCTGGGCCACAAACAATGCCCCAGGGTGTGTTGAACTGGGAGGCCTGAGCTTATTTCATATGGAAATCTATGGATTGTGCAAGAGAATAAAGAATCCTAAACTTAAATACTGTAGTGTGGCTTACATGCACACAGGTCCACAGACTAACAACATGCTGGGTAAAGAAATATTTGGCAGCCATTTGTCTACTGGAGCAAATGGAGCAAAACGGAGCCAGAAATGGCCTCAGTGAAAGAAGAAAGGATGTAGATCTGGAAGAGAAACGGGGAAGAAATGTATTTGGGCCTGCCTATGTCTCTCTTAATTGTATCCTCGCTGGCCCATGCTACTTGCCACATGTGCTGTTGCTCTATTCCAACAGGGCTAAGGCAATTCATCACTTCATTTATGTATTTAAGACATTCTCTTCTTCATTCAAAGAGATTCCCAGGCTAGCTTGCCTATGATGAATGAAAATGCTAGTAAGCTTACAATCTAAAATATATGACACAAAAGGGGAAATAAAAGAATTGGCCGGGATTAAACCAAAAACATATATGTGATGCTTAAAAAAAAGTAGAGGGATCCAGTTCAACACACTCAGGAGGACACTCTGGGACTGTTCAGAGTATTGCTTCTGAATACAGTCCATTCTACCCACCTCGAAGAACATTTTCTTTCTCATCACAATATGATAATGTTTCTTTCAACCATGGAAGCTTGACCAAGATTGCTCACATAAAGATGCTAATAAGACCATTTGTGAGAATTCTGTGAAGAGGGTACATAAGAAGAGCCACCTGCTGGATCAGGCCAAGGGCCCATCTAGTCCAAATCCCTGTAATTCACAGAGGCCCCACCAGATGCCTCTGGCAGCACACGAGGCAACCAGATACCTGTCTCCTGATACTCCTCCCCTGCACCTGGCATTTGGAGGTACCTTCCCTCTAAGCCTGGAGATTACATGGCTTGTAACCTGCGATGGACTTTTCGTCCAGGAATCTGTCCAATCCCCTTTTAAAGGCCTCTAGGCCAGATGCCATCACCACATCCTGTTCTCACTCTCCCAACACTCAATTTGAGTAGATGTGTTCTGAGGTATTAGCCTGCAGATTGGTACAAAGTGTTTGGCTCATCCTATGCTCTGTCACCATCACCTTTTAGTTCAGAGCCTTGCAAGGATGTTACATAATTATCGAAGTGCAGATAGCTATATTTGGCATATGCTGTCATGGGCCCACCGACTTCGCTCATTTTCCTGAGTTGGCTTTTCATATTGATGCAATTGCTCTGTGTTGTGGCATTGTGCCAAGACAGCAGTTATATACATAATAAGACAGTATTATTTGTTACAGTAGACCAGTGTGAGAAGCCATTAAAAATAAGTAGCTGAAAAACTGTGAATTGAAGACATTTCCAGAAGGGAAATTGCTAGCCCTAATGTTCAAAAACCAAAGGAAGAATGATTCAATCAGCCTTAGCACTGTCTTTGACCTTAAGAAGGCTGCTTTTATACAAAAGAACTGCAGATTCCAAGGGGAAACTAAGATACAACAGTTTAGCACAAGGTTAAACTCTCCCTCTCTTGGCCTGTACAGAAACAAAGGCTTTTTCTCTCACTAAATATATATAGTAAATACTGTATTTTTCCGTGTATAAAATCACACTTTTTCCTAAAATAATTAAAGGAAAAATGAGGGTCGTTTTATACTCAGAAGTGAGTAGGAGGGAGGGATCAAAGTGCTTTGATCCCTGTTTTCCCCTCCAGGTTTTGTAAATAAAATGGAGGGGGAAAGCGATTCCTACTTTCCCCCAAAATTTTCATTGCAAAAAGCAGTTTTCCCTCCATGTTTTGCAAAGAAAATGGATGGTGAAAGCAATTTCTGCTTTCCCTTACATTTTCGTTGCAAAAGCAGCTTTCCCCATTCAGGTATTGCAAAGAAAATGGAGGGGGAAAGCGATTCCTACTTTCCCCCAAATTTTTTATTGCAAAATCGCTTTCCCCCTGCATTTTCTATGCAAAACGTGGAAGGGGAAAGCTGCTTTTTGCAATGAAAATGTAAGGGGAAAGCATAAATCGCTTTGCCTCTACATTTTCTTTGCAAAACCTGGAGAGGGAAAGCTGCATTTTGCAATGAAAACGTAGGAGGAAAGCAGGAACTTTCCCCCTCCACTTTCCCTACATTTTCTAAGCAAAACCTGGAGAGGGAAAGATGCATTTTACAATGAAAATGTAGGGGGAAAGCAGGTACTTTCCCCCTCCACTTTCTTGCAAAGAAAGAAATTTTGACCTGAGAGCAAATTATATTACTCCATTACTCATGGGGCCCCCAGGAGTTAGCCCGAATAACATTTTGTTCTATCTGTTGTCGTCAACGGACACGGAGACTACTACTAGGGTGGCACTCTTTCTTAACAGTATCCTAATGAGGAAAAGAGCAAAATCCAATGAGACTACATACTACAAGGTTTAAATTCATGACTGAACAACCAGGGAGTTAATTGACCAAATAGAACATGCACGTAAAAGCAGAGCTACTCAGGAACAATTATATAATGGAACAAAGATCCCATTTATATTTTGCCTAATCTTAATTTTGATTTACCTGTTAATTTGTTATTCTGTACATGCCTAATAAAGGTTTCTGAAACTGAAATTTTGATTTAGAAAAGTGGGGAGCGTTTTATATATGGGGCGTCTTATACACGGAAAAATACGGTAACAGTATAACTGCAGAGCTGGAAGAGGCCCTATGGATCATCGAGTCCAGTCTCTATCAGGGAGGGACAGTGAGAAATCGAACTCCCAACCCCTGCCTTAGCAGTCAGATACCTAACCACTGAGCTATCCAGCAGTGTTAACCAGCTCATCTGTGCAGGGTTTTTTCTGTTGCATATTTATTAAAAATTGTTGTGACATTTTTCTCTGTGGTTTTTGTACACCTTTTCTCTTTTACTTCTTCTTATTTCTGTCTTGCATTAACCATAGCCTACATTCATCTGTCGTGCATGGCTTAGAGAAAGACTTTTCTTAATTTGCTTATCTATGCCTGGATACACTTGTTACCTAACAAAGACTTTTGCAATATTCTTAACAACCACTATTAGTATCTGTACTTTTCACCTCTCAGAGTACCAAGCAAACCTTAAGAAACATGGCAAGACGGTCCCGTGCCTGAGCTCTTCCACTTCTATTACACTTCACATTCTCCTATCCCCACTGAGGCCACAAATGTCTGTCTACTCAAGCTATATTCGGTCTATATTAAGATGCTGGCTGCAATCCATGAAAGCTTATGCCAAATAAAACTCGCTCATTTTAAAATCCTTTATGAAATGGATTGCAGGGTGCTCACTTTCTCCATTATTTAGGATCTCCAGGCACAATGCTGGTC